CACAACAATTACATCTACAATGTCTAACATAATCAACAATCACACCCACCAGAATGTAACTCAATCAACAATTACATCTACAACAGTCTAACATAATCAACAATCAAACCTACAACAGTGTAACACAATCAAACAATCACACCCATTAAAATTGTGAATCACAAAGTAATATACTACTTACGACTTGCATTTTGCTGGACATCATGACAGACTTGAATTCTATGCAACCTCTCTTAGTATTCAGAATATCCAAACTCACAGACAACTAATATACGTTCGAGGATTTTAATAATCATTATCTAACTTCGGTCGATTTAATATGGAAACTTAACTGTAAATTTGTCAAATCTTAAAATGATTTATTTTAATAAAAAATGCATGGTGAATTTTAATTTTCTGTTAATTTAATTGTAAAATGTAAAGGCGACGTGTCAGATAAAAACAAACGTTATTAATTCTGTGAAAACAGACGGCCAGCTCTTTATCTAAATTTCGCATACCCCAATCCGCTAGAACATGCTTGGGACATCTGTGGGCATCCAGTACAGACTTTGGTACAATTAGAACATCGCGAACTGCCGTATGTGCCCATTCAGCGGATCAGACGACTTACAGATGGGACGAATGGCGGTGGGGTCATCAGGGCACGAAGGGGTCCATAACAAAGAGCCCATATCTATCTTCGAGTAGTGGTTAATGTAATAATATTATAGCCTTGACTAATAATTGATTTTTCAGCGCGTGAAACAACGGAAATCTGTGATGACATGATACATGAATTGAACTAAAGTTTAATAAACACATTTGTCATATGCCATCTTCATGGCCAGGAATGGAATGTGTCTGTTGACCAAATTAGGAAATAATCCCTGTTGGTATGCAAGGTATAAAGCATGTCCATTCCATATTTGGCTAATTCGTGACGTAATTAGGCATGGGTGACCAATCATATAATTGATTTCAGAAGTCAAGGCATGAAATCCTTATACGGCATTTAGTAACTGAACATATGATATAAAACACAAATTTATATGGAAAACAATCACTGGGTTTATTTCACACTACGTTTCAACAAGTTCCTCTTGTCGTTCCCAAGTAAGTAATGGGGACGACAAGAGGAACTTGTTGAAACGTAGTGTGAAATAAACCCAGTGATTGTTTTCCATATAAATTTGTGTTTTATATCAGAAGTCAGGGCATATATAAAACGACAGATCTATGCGGAGACATTTCAGACACCAGGCAGATTCTTAGAAGGGAAGATGTAGCAATTTCTATTGGCGAGTTCAGATGAGAGTGGGATGGAGAGAATGACTTTAACCTATGCTTGTATCCTATGTATCCAGTGCTTGACATAAAAATGTAGAAACGAACTGTGGTATGGTTATTTCTGTAACCCCTGAGCAAGAGAATTACAGAGACTATACTAGACGATCATAAGGTTATTAAAATATGTAGCAGGGGAGATAGTATGCGTCACACGCACTGCTTATCACTACATGTTTGATTTTGATGCCGAACTACATAGTGCTACATTATTGGTATCGAAATCTGCACTTAATTAATCAGTACAATAGTTTATTACTTTAGTCAGTTACTAAATACATCTAAATGCCATATTCCATTCAGTGTGTGAAGAGGGGAGTTTTGCTCGACCTACTCTTATTTCGGTTCCTCATCTCATCCGAACGACTAGACAGTGTTGCTTGTCAGGCCCTCCAGTCTGCACGACTTACAAATGGAATCCACGCCGTAAAAATACATCTTCAAAACTGTTTTAATTTCAATACGCATTTATGACGACTTCCTGCAGCGGCATTAATTTTCTGTCTAATTAAAATCTAGTTTTCCAGAACATTGAATCCTACATGTAGATATAACGTCATTCTCTATACCAGCTTGTAACCAATAGACGATACACACGGTATACGTGTATATTTATTCTATATTATTAGACCAGTCAATTTATAAAACAAAAGGGAGGGTGGGGAGAGAGAGAGAGAGAGAGAGGGGGGAGGGGGTAGTCACCCCAATCCCCCAATAATTGCAAGAAAAGGTATTTTGAAATTAGTATTTAACAGACCATTATAGAGACAATGCATATTCATACTTATAATACTACAATATCAGTGATGCAGGACAGCTGTCTAGTCGTTCGAATGGGATGAAAACCCGAGGACCCGTGTACACATTGGCGTGCACATAAAAGATCCCTTGACAGCTGGAACTCGATATAAGAGTAGGCCGTAGTGCCGCTGTCCGGGCAAAATTTCCCTCATAGCAAACTTTATGGCGTATGCTCGTCTTCTTTAGCCCAGTTCATTTCATTTTATTTCAAATTCGACCAAAATGACGTAATTAAATAATCCAATATGGCGGTCTCCAGGAGGTTTCTGAGAGCGATATCTCGTAACCAGTGCGTTTTAGTGGTGGGGCGATAAATCTATTTGTTTATTAATCTATACAAAGTTGTTATAGAGGCGAAATGTTCCGAAAACAGCAAATTTGATCAACTTTAAAAAATGTATTTTTAAAATTCGGTAATAAAATTGTCCCCGTATATAACCAGTCACTATCTCGTAAGATATGACCTTTACCGTGTTTTTTTAGATATGGGTTTCGATGTCTCTGAATTTTAAAAATCAAACATGGCAGAAATTCAAAATAGCAGCCAAAATGCAACCTAAACTAGTAGATTTTAATACGACATGTCTATTACATGGTTTTCAATGTCATTTGGTTGAATTCTAATCAATTTCGAAATCCAAAATGGTCACAAAAATGAAGCCGAAAATGGCGGATTTTTTTTATTAATCGTCATTTTCTCTCCTTGGGTATGGCTTGTAATATGTCTTATATAAGGTTTTTGAGGTTACTGAGTTCAGTTGTGGCCCATATAACCATATAGCTCAAATTGTATAAGTTTAAAACGGCAATTGAAATGGAATCCATAATGAAGATTTTCTTCCATGTGGATAGTGCTTTGAAAATATATCTAATAAGGTTTTCAGGTTCACTGAATTCTATCCTTGGTTCAAATTATTTTTAGCCGTCTTTTTTAGTGTAATTTTCTTCATTTGTATGTGTGTTGGTGCCATCTTCACTGGGGTTAAAAGTTGAAAAGGGCTTAATTAAGATGTTGTCTGATTTTAATCGAAAGGTTCTGCAAGGGTTATTGGTGTTGAGAAGTTCTCTAAGATACCGAGGTCGAAGAATCGTCATTTAAAGCAGAATACGTAATAGACAGTATTTTAAAATTGATACGTTGACAGACTGGGAGCAAATGGAGATCTTTTAGAATTGGTGTCGTGTGTTCATTTGGTTTAGTCTTGATTATGATCCGGGTTGCTTTGTTTTGAAGTCTCTGACGTCTTTTATTTTTATTTGTTATGTAGATTGTACAAAAATGAATTAGTGCAGTTAAGTCTTGATGTAACCGCAGTGTTTTCCAGCATTTTAGTCGTGTCACTATCAATGAAAGTTCTAATATTTCCAATATTATAAATCTGAAAATCATTGCTTATACACATGGCCGAGATTTGTTTTATTCATGTCCAGATTAGAGTCAAAATAAACACCAAGATTTATATTGCAAATTTGGTAGTTTTCTGTTTTAGATTTAAGTAGTTGCTGCCTGTTGCCAACCTTCATTATTTCAGTTTTGGCATCATTTAAATTTAATAAATTTGAGGGCATCCATTTACGGATATCTGATAAACAGGCCTAAAGTTGGCATATCTCAGATGGTTCAGAAGAAGGCTCAAAAGCTATATAAATTTGAGTGTCGTCGGTGTACAGATGGTAGTTAAGACCGTGTTTACGAATGACATTTAAGGAATACCCCACGTTAAATATGTGCATACGCTAAACACACCTATTTACAGTCAGTTTTCAAAATGAATTTCGCGCCCGTTTGTAGTTCTTTCCCTTGTAAATAAATTTTTAATTGGAATTTACGATTCAACAGAAGCACTCTTGTAGCTGTAAAATAAACGGCAATATATATGCTAATAAGAAGTGTATGTTTCAACACCATATCTTTCTACACGAGCTGTCAATAAATTGTTTATTGCATAAAACAGAAACATTTTGTTTATAACTGTGAAATAATATACGTATTTTATATGGTGTATTTTTACTCATAATTAAAGTAGTCAGGTAATGTGGAAATTTGCAACACGTTTTTACATCCTATCTTTCCCTATCCTGTCCAGAGAGAGGGAGAAATGGAGTTTAACGTCCACTCGACACAAACTAGGTCATTTCGGGACTAACATATGGTTTAATTTTATCTCAATAATTCGCTTGCGCGTAGGGGTCTTTAGCAGTGGGAGGAAACCGGAGGACCCGGAGAAAACCCACAGGGTTGGACAGGCAACCCTACTCCTTGTCACGTACAACAGGGGATTCCTATCCTGTCCAACCAATCAGTGAGTGATACTGAGCCACAAACGATTTGAAAATATTGAGTCTGACAAACATTAGAAAAACCCTAAACAAAATTCGAAGTCCTAAAAACGGTATAGGCAAAACAATGTAATCAGCAAATTGACTGTTCACCGTTAAAAATACACGACAAACAGTGGTAGCAGGTGTCCGGAAGAGTAAGCTTACCCTGCCTGGCGCCACACCCGCCTTAGCTGCATCCAAACTATTAGACGAAATCTCGGTAAAATAGTGTAAACATTGGTGTGCACGTAAAAGATCCCTTGACAGTTGGAATTTGATATAAGCGTAGGTCGTAGTGCCGCTGTCCGGGCAAATTTTCCCTCATAACATACTCTATAGGGTATGCCCGTCTTCATTAGCCCAGTTCAGAGCAGAACAGTGGCACGTTAAACTGCATTTCATTTCATTTCAACTTTGCATTTCAAAATTGTTTTCCCATGTATCATTAGTATTTATAATCAGTTTCAAAGGACACTATTAGTGTCAGCCATTATCATACATGTGATAGAACTAAAAAACACAACACAGTTTATTTGCAAAACAATCACTGGGTTATACACATTTAGCACGACGTTTCGACAAATATTCTCTTATCGTCTTCTATATAAATTGTGTGTTTTTTTAATGTGGTCAATCGCTAAATGCCACTCAAACATTATATTGTGATAGAGCTGGTTAAACACATTGTAAATATAATTTTAACACAGAGATCATCGCTACGATAGTAAGTTATATAGAAGGATAACTCTTGATTTCCATTTTTGCGTCACTTCCGTTTCTTTAAATCTTCGTTATGCTTCTATCGTAGCAATGATCTCAGTGTTAAAATTATTATATTTAGAATGTGTTTAACTAATAGTTAAACATAGTTAGATAATGTAAATGCAATTTGCTGAAAATTTCAGTCAAATTGATCCACTATGAACCGAGAAATAAACGATTGAAATTTCGGCTTAGCTTCGATCATCATTACTAAAGTCTGTACGATAAAAAACATAGTCTCAATCATCCATTTCATGATTAAATTATGAATGGAAGTCGAGCAGTAAATGGGATCATAATCCAGCAAATATCGCAGGCTAGCGATGCCACCTAGAGTTGATTATGGTCTGGATAAGTTAATTAATGTCTAATTAAAAATTTATATGTAACATTTCAGGCCTAAAAGAGACCTGCAATAGGCAGATTTAGCTCTTCCATAAATTATGTTTAATAAAGACAATGCCTTTTTCAAGGTAGCGTCCAGGGTAATATATAAGTGTGTGTGCGAGTGAAACAGCGTTATTTTACGCCCGCTTCCATCAAAGACAATATAATAAGTTGTTGTTTATTACAAATTTAAGGTCCAATACAATATAATATATGATATTATGGACAGGTTAATTTAATTAACCAGCACTTAATTAGTCAAAGCGATATAATGAGCTAATTGTTGATCAGTATTTTAATACCATGTACCGTTTATTGTTGGACAGGCAACGTCCACGAAGCCTTTAGAATTCTGTGTCGCGGCAAAAAATAGACCGGACAATCGTGACTAAAATAAAATTACCCCCCCCCCCCCCTTGCGCAATTACCAGTATTAAGTTTAAAAGCAAAGAAACAGAAATCAATTCATAATATTTTTATTAATTTTGCTACTCTTTTTTTGCAACCCATACATAGATATACTACTAACTGAAGATCGGGGTGTAAATGTATCAACACATCGTCTATGTTTACTTCGGATGCGTCCATGTGAATCCGAAAAAAAAAACATGTCGAGTTTTCGTTAAAAACCAACATAATAAAACACTATTTTAATTTTTATTTCTGCACAATTAATCATCATTCCGGACAGTATTATCTGAACTTTATTTTCATATTTTTAAAATCCTTCATACAAGCGGGAATATGGAGTATTAATCAAAACCAAAATGCTTATAAAAAACTACGAAAAAATTGAAATCGATCATTTCACAATTTTCAACTGCTGCATTTGGAAATTTCAAAATTCTAAACTGGATAAATTCGTCACTAACGGATAGGAATACTTATCGGGTTGAAAAATTACCATGTAACTATAAGAATATCGTAAATTCTAAGGAGGAACGAGTTCTAAAAATTAATCCGTATAAAATCCCGCTAAGTCAAAAATCACATCTCTTGATTTGCCGTTGACCAATGAGATCTCATTGTGTCTAGCGCGAGCGGCAGAGAAACCAACCAACGTGACTCGTTGCCTGTCCATCTATATACGGTCCCCATGGTTAAACCATTAGTATATACCATACAAATAGGAAGCCCTTAATAATTACATATAAAAATCAAAAGATCAAAGTAAAATAGGTAAATGGTAATCAGTACCCATAATGAAATTGGTGTTTACCAGTAATTAACGGGTTACACTATACAGCGGGTAATAATTATTATCATATTAATACATCTATAAGAGTAAGATATTAACATAGGTATACTGATGATAAAATATATAAATACACGTTTACACATTTTAAAATAATTTGTGTGTGGGTCTAGTCCATTTGTCATAATGCTTCACATGTGTAACAATATAGGGGGAGGGGGGACTAGGATTTAACGCCCAGGCACTCGACACAAACTAGGTCATTACGGGACTAACATATGGTTCAATTTTATTTCAATAATTTGCTTGCGCGTATGGGTCCTTAACAGTGGGTCCAAACCGGAGGACCAGGGGAATACCCACGAGGTTTGGCAGGCGAACCTACTCCCTGTCACGTACAACCGGGGAATCGAATCCACGCCAGCTGACTCAATGAGAAACCTTATGATACAACGTGCACGCTCTAACCATTAGGTCATTCAACCCCCGTAACAAAATAGGAGATCCTAACTAAACAACAACTGTAATATAACTTGATGGGCTATGGCTAAACATTCAGTTGTATGCATGAGGAAGGTATAATTAAAGTTGAAACTATAAAGAGATAAAGGTTTCTGGTTTTGAACAATGTTGAAATGAGAGAGAGATAACGAGAGAGAGAGAGAGAGAGAGAGAAATGGGGTTTAACGTCCACTCGACACACACTAGGTCGTTTCGGAACTAACACATGGTTCAATTTTATTTCAATCATTCGGTTGCGCGTAGGGGTCTTTAGCAGTGTGAGGAAACCGGAGGACCCGGAGAAAACCCACGAGGTTGGACAGGCGACCCTACTCCTTGTCACGTACAACCGGGGAATCGAAACCCAGCCCGTTGACTCAATGACAGACCGTATGATACAGCGCGCGCGTGCTAACCATTCGACCAACCCCCCTCATATTCAAATGATTTCTATATTAATGTTTTGTTATCACAAATTAAAGGTTGCATGAATATATTAAAAAGTTCCCTCCAAATTCCCATCATGCTAAGCAGCGTGACGCCATTTTTTGTAGAATTCCTTAGCATTTTTTTTAAGTACTCTTGAATACTTTGTAGAATTTGTAAGAATTAATGAATAGAATAGAGTTGAAAATAGCACCATTAATTGTAAGTAGATTTAGAGAATCATTTGTAGATCTTAATATGTATTTTCATTTAGTTTTTATCGTAAACAATGTTAATTAATAAATGGGTCGTAGTTGGTTGCTCTAATTGCCCATTGTCTATGGTACCTTGTGGGGGGTCCTGCCGTAACGTAATTTGAGCTATCTTGGAGACGGGAATGTGTGTGTGTATTCAAGGGAGACAACTACATTTAAAGCCAATACGTAAACAAATCGAAAGTAGTCGAAGGAACGGTTGAATTTGTATGAATAGTTAGATAATATGTTGTTATGTCTTTATTGTAGTGAATCACAGTATAGATTTTATATTCTATGCATTTCCACCTTTCAGCATAATTCCAAATTGTACATTTAGTTGAATCGTAGTTTACCAATTACCAGACGTCATAGTAGAATATTGAACTTTGTAGAAAATAGATAGAATTGATAATTGAAGAAATTATTGTGGAATATATATATAAAGCTGTGAATATAAACTTTTGGTGTTTTTATTCAGTATATACAGAATTTAACATTTATCCGTTAACAAACAATGTATATTGTTAGGTGTGACGGGGATCAAATCTGTGTGAAAATGTCCAAAACATGATAATTTAATTAAAAAACAGTTCTATATTTCGTTATGTTTTTCTATACTTTCGATGGCCTTCACTACTTGAAGATCTGACCGGCTGTAATAGGGGGTCGCGTCATGGGTTATACAAACGGCTTTTGGCCCCATGACGTCAGACATTCGATTAACCAATCAGCGTTGATGTTTCTAGTGGGATACATCCAGAACTCGCCTCAACAGACCGTTTCATTGGCTAATGCCTCGCATAAAGTGGAACGCAGGTTATATATAACACCTCTTCCTGATCCTAGTGTAATAAAGACAAGTAAAACGAAATTTTGAACTATAAAAAACGAAACGAAATAGGATCTGTGTTTTAATCAGATTGGGTCCTTTTGCTTCTTGATCAATTTAACCCCATAATAAGCTTCAAAAGGGCCTAGGCAAGGGCCAGGAACGGAAATAACACCAAATAAATCCCAAGTTAAACATGAGTAATACCCCAATTAACAATTTCCTCCAACCGTTTCACCCATATGTTGACACGATTCTCACTTGTAAATACAAACGTATGTTCTTCATCTCGAGCTGTTTTAATCCACAGAGCCTTACCACCTGAAAATATAAATAAATAAAATGAAATGGGGTTTAACGTCCTACTGTTCTGCCCCCCCCCCCCCTGGGCTTATGAAGACGGGCATACAACATACAATGTGTTATATCGAATTCCAACTGCCATGGGATCTGTTCGTTTACGTGCACGCCCATTTATACACGGGACCTCGGTGTTTCGTCTCATCCGAATGACTAGACAGCTGTCACTGTCAGACCTTCCGTCCTGCATCACTGACAAGGGGACACCACGTCGGAAAATCCCGATGCACTTTCCCGGCCAATGCAGGTATCGACTGAAAACATACAAATAATTATAGAGAAAGAGAGAAATTGGGTTTAACGTCCACTCGACACAAGCCAGGTCATTTCGGGACTAACTTATGATTTGCTTTTATTTCAATAATTCGCTTGCGCGTAGGGGTCTTTAGCATGGGGGGCGGAGGACCCGGAGAAAACCCACGAGGTTGGACAAGCGACCCTACTCCTTGTCCCGTACAACGGGGAATCGAAACCACGCCAGTTTAAAAACAATTATAATTGTGCAACAATGTTCTACACTTACGTCAGGGTGACTGTTTTAGCTATATACCATCACATCTAAATATATTGTTACACTTCGACTTATCTCTATGGGATTTTCCTGCGTGGATTCCCCTTGTCAGAGGTGCAGGATGAGGGAATGACAAGGACAGCTGTTATTTATTATAACATTTATATCATTCGTTTTTGTATGTTCTTAATAATTGTACTATTATAACTATCAATAGCAATGTATGTGGAGAGGGCATCGGTAAGTTTTCGTAACTTTTGTCCCAATCCGGGACCTCGGTTTTTCGTCCCATCCGAACGACAAGGACAGCTGTCTAGTCGTTCGGATGGGACGGAAAACCGAGGTCCCGTGTACACATTGGCGTGCACGAAACAAATATCCCTTGGCAGTTGGAATTCGATATAAGAGTAGGCCGTAGAGCCGCTGTCCGGGCAAAATTTCCCCTCATAGCACACTGTATGGCGTATACCTGTCTTCATTAGCCCAGTTTAGGAGCAGAACAGTAGGACGTTAAACCCCATTTCATTTCATTTCGTTAGTACTTTATTTATGCTTTAGTACAATAAACTATGTTTAAAACAAGGAAAACAGGTTTGCGGAAGTTAAATTATTAAAATTTTCTCCCGGCGGTCCCATCTCCGTCGACTGTAAACAATTGTGATTGGAATTCGAGTCGGCCACCTAAGTTGGGCTATAATCCGACCACTTTGAAGTTGTTGTATTCACGGGCCGGAATAGCAGAAACATGCGTTCCAAATATTTTCTTTTGAGGGTAGGGTGGGGTCCTACACGGTACGCTCCGCTCCTTCGTCCCTCGCAGGCACCCCCCCCCCCCGCCACATTCATCGAGTTGTACGCTTATACATCACGGGACCATATTTCTGGATTTATTTTTCTTTTTGTAAGAGGACACCGGTGAAACACCATCATAAAAGGCGTCTGGTTATTAAAAAAATTGGGGGGTTGGATATCCGAACGGTTAGCACGTGCGCGCTGTATCATAAGGCCTTTCATTTAGTCAACTGGCGTTGTTTCGAATCCCCGGTTGTACGTGACAAAGGAGTAGGGTCGCCTGTCCAACCTCGTGGGTTTTCTCCGGGTCCTCCGATTTACTCCCACTGCTAAAGACCCCTACGCGCAAGCAAATTATTGAAATAAAATTAAAACCATGTTAGTCCCGAAATGAACTAGTTTGTGTCGAGTGGACGTTAAACCCAACTTCTCTCTCTCTCTCTCTCTCTCTCTCTCTCTCTTAAAAAATTTAAAATTCACGCCATGATCCAAATTTATAAATAACCCAACCATATATTTATTGTTGATGTTATACATAACGTATACAATTTCACACACGGTCTTCTTTATATTATATATTATTATATTATTATTATTGACATACTTATTCACCAAGGAAGTTACTCAAATATCTATTTTATATTTACACGTGTGCAGGCGTTAAGGATGATAAAAGGCCTGACTACTAACTATTCATTTTATTCGTGTAAATCAGTGAAGTGTTACGATAGCAATAAAAAATGTTAATAGAACCGTCTTAATGCTAGGTGGCCACTATCACGATTCGCGCCAGGAAAATTTCCAAATTTTCTATTGGGCATTTGGAGGGGGGGGGGGGGTCCTACATGGTAAGCTCCGAACCTTCGCCTCTCGCTGACGACCGATATCGTCGCCTGTACCCTGAAAAGTTTTCGGTCATTTCATGTTCTGCAGGTAATTCTTTTGCCATCAAATGTTATATAAATTATTAATTAGACATTAATTGATCCATAGGATGATCGTAACATATAATCAATTCAAACACCATCGCGATTTATTAATTTAATTTAAATATTTATAATTGAGACTTTCTTTATTGTCGTAACAATGGTAGCAATGAAAATCGAGACTTCGCTACTCTTATGAAAACTTCCAACATGCTTAATTTAGCCCAGAATAAAGTAATTTGACTGAAATATTCAATATTTTCCGTTCCCATCATCTATTTTTAAACTATTATAGCTAGGCAAGTACTGTGAGTTCTTTATCCAAATCTTACACCATGCAACTTTAAGATGGTTGTAAATATAAGAACTGGTAACTCACCTTCTTTAGTTATGATGTGTATATTTGAAATAGCCTTAAAAGGGATGAACTCTGGTGTTTGATTTTCCGTTGTCCAGATTAAAGAGGTGCCTGTTTCTTCATTATCGGATAATGCTAGGTTTCCCTTACACGAATTGCCATTATCCCCTACTTTCACAAATATGTCTACAAATAGAACAAAAGAACAGATTGATACAAGACTTGTTATGCCATTATAGAACAAATAATCCTATAATATCTATAAATAGAGGTAATTAACACAGAGAGAGAGTGAGAGAGAGAGAGGGTGAGAGAGAGAGAGAGAGAGAGAAATGAAATGAAAATGAAATGAAATGGGGTTTAACGTCCTACTGTTCTGCTCCTATACTGGGCTAATGAAGACGGGCATACGCCATACAGTGTGCTATGAGGGAAATTTTGCCCGGGCAGCGGCACTATCGCCTATTCTTATATCGAATTCCAACTGCCAGGGGATCTTTTACGTGCATTCCAATATATACACGGGACCTCGGTTTTTCGTCTCATCCGAAGGACTAGACAGCTGTCCTTGTCAGGCCGGGGAAAGAGAGAGAGAGAGAGAGAGAGAGAGAGAGAGAGAGAGAGAGGGGGGTTTAACGTCCACTAGACACACACTAGGTCATTTCGGGACTAACACATGGTTCAATTTTATTTGAATAATTCGCTTGCGCAAGCGAATTATTGAAATAAAATTAAAACATATGTTAGTCCCGAAATGACCTAGTTTGTGTCGAGTGGACGTTAAACCACATTTCTCTCTCTCTCTCTCTCTCTCTCTCTCTCTTAACATGATCATGACAAAATGTTCTAATAATAATAATAATAACCACTCCTTACCATTTAAAATCATAAAATGTTTATCTTTTAAAATATAATCTTTCATTTCATTGATAGTTATCCGTTCATCTCTACCAACGATTCTCAACATCCTAGCAAATTTTTGCAGAATACTAGTGGTTTCTTCCAGTAAGTAAACATCCATTAAAGCCTGAAGCTGAATCTTTAAAATATCCCGTTCATGATCATAATAAAAGTTGAGGCAGGTTTCTTGAAACATCCCCGCTTCTTTGATTGGAGTCATTTGTATAGTATCTTGGCGTATTGTTTCTGTACATCGGTTTCGTACAAGATGGCGATTTAGTTGCTTTCGTGAGGATTTGTTAGCTAATTGTTCTATCTGAATGTACGGGAAGGCTGCCATTGACATACATTCAGTAATGATTCCTTCGTTTCCAGAAATGAAGCTGTATAATGGTGTGCTCTTTGGTGGAATGGTGCTGACTATTGGTATCAAGTTAGTCATAGACTCCACGGTGTTCTGGGCATCAGCATCAGCGATCAAACGTCTCTGGTCGCTTTCCATTGTAACTGTAACGTATTTGTTACGGGAGTAGAACGATAGTAACAGCTGATATAAAGATGTAACTAAACACAGTAGAGTGGTTTTTGTACAGATAGTCGTATAAAGTATCTTTCTACTGGTAAAAGATGAAAATGAAAGATAAGCTGTGTGGATACGATGGTTAAATTTCTTCACGTTTCGTTTCGTGGTTGAAAATGTTGATTTACGGATACGTTTTAAGAGTTGCTTGCTCCATAGTTGTTTTAATGGTGAATCATTTGATGTAAGATAGCGATCCAATGCTTGGAAAGCGGATCTTGTATGATCACACCTTAAATCAAAAATCGTTTTCCGTTTACCCATTATTTTCATGATATCAATAAAACCCTCCACAAACAACTGTGCAGCTCTAAAATCAAAACCCACTCGGTGGAATATAAACCGAATCGATAGAAACGGTTTTGTTGCAAATGTAAATCGAACAGGTCCGTGTTTACTCAGATCAAAATCTCCAAAACATTTATCCAGACTTTGCATTTCATCATCCAGTTTATCAACGATATTATAGTCTAATGCTTGCTTTGTGGAGAGAATTTTTCTTCGAACAGACGGAGTGATAGTAGAACCGCCATGTTGAATTGTTTCAAATCCGGTATGGGCAATTGGCTGCGCTGATATCGCAAGTTTTAGGATTTCTAAAACCTCGTCGAAGCGAAGGGAAAGTCCATTAAAGTACACATCAGTATATAACAGTAAAGCTGTACTCTGTTTGTGTTTGGTATACAAATTAAAATAGAATTGTTCTGTGGGAGAAAGTCTGGTTTCATCAACATCAGCGTGACCTTGGCCTTCAACCATTTTGATTACCTGTAAGAATATCAGGGGAAATGCAATAACGATTTGATTACCTGTAAGGATATTAGGTGAAATGTAACGACGATTTGATTACCTGTAATATCAGGTGAAATGTAATAACGATTTGCGAACTGTACCATGGAATCTACAAGGTATTAGTTTATAGTTCAATATAAAATACAAATGTGACGTCATACTTTGATGTTAGCGTATCATTATTTTAAATAATGACACAGGCAACATTAAGGTTAGGGGAAGTGATTGTTGGCGAGATTGTACGTTAGGGTTAGTTTAAGCGTTAGGGCTAGGTCCGGGATTAGGTTTAAGAACTTTGGGGAGAGGTTACGTCTCACATAAGCACTGACCTAGGATGATGAAAATTCAGTCCGTGATATTTCTTGGTTTTATAAAAATACATACAATAAATTGAATTTTATATATTGAAACAACCCTTGTGGCTAACGCCGCCGTGTTGCATCAGTAAGTAATACCGTAATGTCTTGCTCACACATAATGTATGTGAATATCAAAGTAATTAAATAATATGCAACTAAATGTCAGATATTTTAAAAGTGTGTTTTCTTACCTTGAACAGGTACGATGACAAACTATATATGAACACTACTATTACTACAGGTAGATATTAATACAATCAACATTAAACACCACACCCTTACATCCTCTCTTATCAACTTTGTGTGTAATTCTATATTCACCCAAAATGAACAAATTATAAATTTCTTTACCTGCTGAGCAAGTTATTTTTACTAATAGACATACACTCCCCTGAAACATTAAAGAAAGAGATGTATTCAATATAACTTTGGTTAATGTTAGTAGCTCGTCACGCACTGAATATGCACATTTATTTGGTTAGGTTAAATGAAAGTTACTCTCAATTGATCAAATAGGATAGTATGAATTAACGGTGTGTCGGGGTAATGAGGGAGGGTGGGGTTTAACGTTCACCCGACACAAACTAGGTCATATCGGGACTAACATATGGTTCAATTTTATTTCAATAATTCGCTTGCGCGTAGGGGTCTTTAGCGGTGGGAGAAAACCGGGGAATCGAAACCACGTCAGTTGACTCAATTACAGACTTTATGATACAGCGCGCACGCGCTAACCATTCGGCCATCACCCCCCCCCCCCAGCCCCCCCCACCCCACCCCCCGGGGATAAAGAAAAAGGCTGAAAAGAATAGCCATTCTGGTGAATAAAATGTTCATATGTGTAATTGTTAATTTTAAAGAGGCATTAAGGTAGGTTAGATAAAGAGTTGAAAATTCTCGCTATAATAGTTAAAAAATAGATAACGTAAAGCGAATACATGTATGCTCAAAAGTTTAGGCAAATTGTTCCACTCTGACCCGAGATATTAGCGATGGGGTTTTAATGTCCTACTGTTCTGCGCCCACAGGCCCAATGAAGACAGGTGTACGCCACACAGTGTGCTACGAGGCAAATTTAGCCCGGAAAGTATGGAATACCAAACAGCTCTTTATTCTTAGTTCTTAATTCTTAGTTCTTAATTCATAATCCTTATTCTTATTTCTTTATTTGTTGGGGGGGGGGGGGGTAGCTGAATGGTTAGCGTGCGCGCGCTGTATCATAAAGTCTGTCATTGAGTCGACTGGCGTGGTTTCGAATCCCCGGTTGTACGTGACAACCGCGTGGGTTTTGCGCAAGCGAATTATTTAAATAAAATTAAACCATATGTTAGTCCCGAAATAACCTAGTTTGTGTCGAGTGGACGTTAAACCCCACCTCTCTCTCTCTCTCTCTCTCTCTCTCTCTTCATTTGTTGTCGTATTCCGACATTTGTACTTGAAAATCAACATTTGTATCCTAAATCAATATTTGTTTTACATATCAGATATTTGTCGTAAAAAAATTGTAAATTGTATTTTTGTTTAATTTAATTTTAGTTATATAAAGATAAAATTTATTTTTGAAAATCAAAAAATTTGCCTACATTTACATTTCTTCAGATACATACAACGAAAAACAAATCTCGAACAACAAATTTCCAAATACAAATCTTGTAAAACATTTCTCCAAATACATTTCTCGAAATTCATCGAACCGGAACATTATGACGACATGAGCGGAAATCAACCTGGCATACAATAAGTCACCATACGATAATGGGAAAAAAGAGCAAGCATGTATACCATCACACTGATCAGCAGTGAATATTCGCTAGGCCGCTACAATCACTGATAAGGGTGACATCAATGCGACTTAATGAGTCTCAAATATTAACTTTTTTCCACCGACAAATTAAATTCTAAAACATTTTTGTGATGTATTAGAAAAATAAATAAAGATGTTTGACGTATTTAGTAAAATTTATTTCCTATTTAGTGGAAATGGGTATTAAAATGACTAAAAGGCAGCATTCTGTCCGAAGCAGTAACGTCTTATGTAAACAATGCAAGCTTCATTCAGCACGTGTTAAAGGCAGTAATCTTTTACAGAGATATTAGAAGACTCGTAATTCTCTGTGAAACAGATTGATATACAATAAGCACAATCGCTGTACGACCGCGACTGTGGTGAAACCACGTGCGTAGTATGGCTAATTGGGCAGGGCGTTCGAAAAAGAAAATAAATTGAAAGCAGTCTATTTTCAGAAATGAGGTTATTGTCTCATAGCGACATTTTTTGCTCAAACGAAAGAGTATTTTGTCGCTTCTAAATCATGTAATCTTGAATGTGCCAAGGAATACGTAATATATTGAAAGAGGAATATAAAATACTTGCCGGTCAAGCATTACACGATAATTCGTACTTTAAATTTTAAATCCCCCCGCACACACCCATACACCCCCCCCCCCCACACACACACACCCACTCACTAACTCAATAGTATTTAGCGCCATCCAACTTTGATATCCTTTTCAAGCTATGTAAATTTAAATGTGCCAGAATATAATTTACATTTTTGAAAAGATAAATGAAATTTTTCAGTGGTATTCAGTGTGATATCTGGAATTTAACCCTAACACTACCCCCCACCCCCCTACCCCCACACACACACATACCCATTCCTGACAACACTTACTAGAGTTTATTAGGCGGGAGAGGGGCGCTATTTAAAGTAAAAGAACAGATACTGTTGGAAAGTATGTTTATTGCTTGCTACAAAATGTATTTTATTTTACATACCTTGAAAAATGAACAAATTTGTATGGCCCTAATCTGTATTAAATGAGGCGTGTGCGTGTGTGTGTGTGTGTGTGGGTATTTAATGTCATTATATGTACCATAACACGAAATACAATATATCAGGATGGATACCATTAAAAAGGGCCAAATACCTTTTCAAAATTGCAAAACATCTCTGACATATTCATATTTACATACCTTGTTAAGCCAGATATAATTTGGATCGTCTGAACTATATCTAGAGAGGGGGGGGGGGTATCTAAATGTCAAAATACGGGTCTTAATACGATATTCCAGTTATGCATCACCGGAAATTATTATTCTATGGCCTTTGAATAATAGTATTGGTTATTTACTGGCACATTCATGATTACATGATTTAGAAGAGATAAAATCCGCTTTTGTGTGTCTAATGTGTCGCTATTAAAAAATAACATAATTACTAAAAATAGGCTACTTTCAATTTAATTTATTTAATGCTAGGTCGGCTTAGCATTCATCTTTTCTTAGATAAATACAAATCAATTAAAAATACACCATGTAATAGCTAAATCTGTCTATTGCAGGTCTTTCTCTAGGCCTGAAATGTTATATAAACTATTAATTAGACATTTATTAACAAAACAAGTCCATAATCGACTGTCGATGGCATCGGATACTCGAGATTTTAACTAGATTCAAACGGTTCGCCATTTAAAAATTTAATTTAAAAATGGGAAAGCGAGGCTAAGTCCCGATTATAGCAGTGCCCTGGTTACCACTGTGCACACATCTTGTCAAAACTACAAATAATGATGGCATCGGAGTAATTTTTATCATCTATTTTTGAATTATTATAGCAAGAATGGCCAACTCTTTATAAAACTCTTAACTAATGTATCTTTAAGCATTTGAGTGTGAATATATGATCTAAAGTTACGCATTAAAATGGCCTGACTATTCGTTTGATAACGATGAAAGTACTACTAGCCAAAAATTTAATTTTTAGTGTTTTTTTCTCTAATATTGGAATTTTAGTGAGAGAGAGCAAGAGGGCGAGTTTAATGTCCACTGGAGACAAACTAGGTCATTTCGGGACTAACACATGGTTCAATTTTATTTCAATAATTCGCTTGCGCGTAGGGGTCTTTAGTGGTGGGAAGAAACCGGAGGACCCGGAGAAATCTCACGAGGTAGGGCAAGCGACCCACTCCTTGTCACGTACAACCGGGGAATCGAATCCACGCCAGATAACTCATTGACGGCTTTATGATGCATTGAAACATAATCTTCTTTATTGAATGCCTCTTATATGACTATTGATTTGATCAACTGAAATGAAATGACAATCTGATTAAAACACAGATCCTATTTAGTTTCATTTTTTATAGTTCAAAATTTCGTTTCATCTGTTTGTACTACACTAGGATCTGGAAGAGTTGTTATTTAACCTGCGTTCTGGATAGCGTGAGTGATTAGCCAATGAAACCATCTGTTACGGCGACTTCTTGGCGTACGATGTGCGGAACTGTGAGTAAACCACTAGACTCGTAACGCTGATTGATTAATCAATGTCTGGCGTTTTAGGGTCAAAAGCCGCTCGCACGATCGCTGACGTGACCTTCCAGTACAACTGGTCAGATCTTCATGTACTGTAGCTCATCGAAATTGATGTTATGGGGTTTAACGTCCTACTGTTCTGCTCCGAACTGGGCTAATGAAGACGGGCATACGCCATACAGTGTGCTATGAGGGACATTTGCCCGGACAGCGGCACTACGGCCTACTCTTATATCGAATTCCAACTGTCAAGTGATCCTTTACGTGCACGCCAATGTGTACACGGGACCTCGGTTTTTCGTCCCATCCGAACGAATAGACAGCTGTCCTTGTTGATAAACAATCTCTTTGCTATAATAGCTCAGTTTTTTTAGACTGAAATATTCATCGTTAATTTTGTATATGTTTTGTGGGGACGGGGTTGGGTTTTTGTGGGGACGGTGTTGGTTTTTGTGGGGACGGTGTTGGTTTTTGTGAGGACGGAGTTGGGAAATGAAATGAAATGAAATGTGGTTTTATGGCACGTCAGCTCCAACCGGGCTATATTGCGCCAAAACATATGGTGAATATTACGAGACGGGCTAAAATATATCACAGAAAAACATTATATGCATAAATAGAGAGAGAAAGAGAAATGGGGTTTAACGTCCACTCGACGAAAACTAGGTCATTTCGGGACTAACATGGTTCAATTTTATTTCCATAATTCGCTTGCGCGTAGGGGTCTTTAGCAGTGGGAGGACAACCGGAGGACCCGGAGAAAACCCACGAGGTTGGACAGGCGACCCTACTCCTTGTCACGTACAACCGGGGATTCGAAACCACGCCAGTTGACTCAATGACAGACTTAATGATACAGCGCGCACGTGCTAACCACTAAGCCATCCAACCCCCCATATGCATAAATAAAAACAAGTTAATAAAATTATGCATATAAATATTAAATACAAAAATGAAATGATTTTTATATACAATTAAATTTATTATAAAAACCTGTCT